TTAACAAAACCATTTAAAATCACACCTGATAAACGTGCATCGGAAGGTCTTCCAGCAAATGAGAAAAATCGCAAACTGGTCGCAATGAAGCCTTCTCCTCTCGAACGTTGGTGACAAACGTTTCAGGTCCCAGAGCAAGGCGAATATACGCCATCAACGAGTCACTGATGATGAGAACCTTGGGTTTCTTCAATACTCCCATCTTCTTCAAAGGACCTCGATGCGGAAATAGAGGCGTCCCATGAGTCCAGTCTTGCACTATACACCCAGGAATCGGAAGCTGGACAGATCCAATAGTCTCTGCATGTTTCGGGGTTAGACCCAAGTTGACGGCAGCATTTCTTCGAAAAGTAATCTCGTCATCCGGAATGAAACTCCTGCTCCAGAAAATCCGCCTCAAAACATCTGAAAAACATTGAAAACTTAAACGGAAATTCGAAAGCAAAACGCAGAACCGAAAAGCACTCTTAGATTGAAAACTTAAATGGAAATTCGAAAGCAAAACGCAAAACCGAAAAGCACTCTTAGATTGAAAACTTAAACGGAAATTCGAAAGCAAAACGCAAAAACCGAAAAGCACTCTTAGATTGAAAACTTAAACGAAAATTCGAAAGCAAAACGTTGCTGACAAAAAGCACTAAAACTTGATCTCGAAACAAAACGCAAATTCTGTAAGCTAAAACGCAGAGTCAAAACTTATCTTTACTTGATCTCGAAACAACACGCAAATTCGTAAGCAAACGCTTTTCAAAGTCACTTGCAAGATTTTTTCGACCTAGACGGGACTGGCCATCCCTGACAGAGAGAAAAATCTAAAAAGAAAGGAGTAACAGCTGAAAACCATCTTCCAACTTAAGGAATTTTAAAAAGGGAGGACAACCGGAACCGGACACTTGGCAAACTCGTCGAACACTGACGCAAAAACAGCACAGCCAAAGGACTATATACGGTGGCTCCCTCTGACTCAACCCTCAACAAATCGGCACCCAGACTGAGTCAAACCGATGAGTCAAGAATCGTCAGCGAGAGCCAGCAAAACAAGACCATTAACGTCGAACTTTCTGGAAACTTCGCGAAACGACAGCCCTTCTTAATTAGTTTTGAAAAGGGAGGACAACCGGAACCGGACACTCGGCAAACTTGTCGAACACTGACGCAAAAACAGCACAGCCAAAGGACTATATACGGTGGCTCCCTCTGACTCAACCCTCAACAAATCGGCATCCAGACTGAGTCAAACCGATGAGTCAAGAATCGTCAGCGAGAGCCAGCAAAACAAGACCATTAACGTCGAACTTTCTGGAAACTTCGCGAAACGACAGCCTTTTTAGTGCACTTTGAGATGTTTTCGCGATCATGTGTCAGCAAATTGCCTCGGTTCTAACTGCCTCTCGTAAAAATCTACTCTATTTATCCTCGTTTTTTCTACCGCTTTCACTTCTCGAAACGACCTCTCTGAGCTGTTTCAATAAGTAAAAGGGGGGGTTTATGTTGGAAAAAACTTCGGCATGCTGACAATTCGGCGCCAGATTAATTTTAAACGACAGTCTTTTCCTTTTAGTGCACTTTGTGATGTTTTCGCGATCATGTGTCAGCAAATTGCCTCAGTTCTAACTGCCTCTCGTAAAATCCTACCCTATTTATCCTTGTTTTTTCTACCGCTTTCACTTCTCAAAACGACCTCTCTGAGTTGTTTCAATAAGTAAAAGGGGGGGTTTATGTTGGAAAAAACTTCGGCATGCCGACAATTCGGCGCCAGATTAATTTTAAACGACAGTCTTTCCCGAAAATTTCTAACAGCTTCTGCTGGAGCCTGGGAACCAAACCCGAGTTCGATTCCCAGGCCCAGGAAGGACATCTTCTGAATGGATTTCTTAATCCGCGTCCTTCAGCAACTCTTTCCTGTTTTCCAAATTCAGCATGATTTTCATCACTCGCATTCGAATTGTGAACCTGAGCAGATCTCCGAGCAGAGAAGCTTTTTTGTCTTGCAAACACCGAATTCCGAAATTCTGACCAAGTGTTTTATCATCAAAAGAAATACAACTCGTTCAAACTTGGACTTTGTCCTAGCCGATTCACTGAGCTCATATTAATAAATTCATCGCTTCACTCTCGTGAAAAGAACTTCAATTCTTACCTTCAAATTCAATTACTTCTTTTCCTAATTTCTTATCCATTCCATATCACATTTTCAGCTTTGTGAGTTTGTCTGTTTGACATATCTTTTTCTCACATCACAACTGGGAACATTACATGAAAAAACATTAACCAAACAGAATGTTGCGCAAGGGTTCACTGTACAGTATTCAAAAACATTATATTAAAAATCATGTTTACACAAACTGAGCACCTCATCTGCTTCATATCAAATGAGAAACACTCATTTGATATTACAAAGCCTGCCTGAACCAAATGGAAAGCTGGTACAGTGATACTCCAATAGGCGGACTTAATTGGTGCATTAAGAGTGTCCCAAAGCCAAAATGTCCCAAAGTCAAGTCTTGTTTTCCTATAGATTTACATTTTATAATTTTTGATTGGTGTTTTGTGGAAGAAATATTCTTCAGAATTCCCTGAAAATAATTGTTTGCCACTTGAATTTGAATTAGTGAATACATTTTCTACTCAATAAGAACATTTGGAGCATTGAATAGTGTATTTCTGTACTGTACACTGAAATTTTGGTATCTACAAAAATAACATTCAAGTGAAAAAAGTAGAAGTCCCTCTAGGCTGGAGGTAATTTTTTTAAAATAGCTAAATGGATGGTAAATTGGTGAAAGAAATGCCCAAGAACTTTTCTTACATCAATTTTAGGGTTGGAAATATATGTTTCTTGTAATTTGGCCTGAAATGTATTTGCAATTTCATCACAAAATGTCCCTATGTTGAGTGAGTGTCCTCAT